AAACATGAGTGTCTTCATAGTAGAAAATATAGCTTTGTGGTTGTTTTCTGAACAGTCAAGTGTTTGCTCATTCGAGAAACTTCATTAACACTAGTTATTAGGGGCCTATCAGGTATTAATACTGACAAGCTTCCATCACCAAGTCTGACTTGGGTGGTTCAGTCCTCTTCTCATGGCCAATGAGAAGTTAGATGAGGAGGTGCTCCAACTGTTCTGTCCAATAGAATTAAGAGAAAGAGAACCAGTGGGCACAGGAACAGAGCTGGATCTCTCCCTGGGATACTGCAAAGGCTAACAGCCAGTAGGCACTTAGTCCCAGTGTGCCCTCCTTGAGCTAGTTCCACTGTTCAGAGAGCTATGCCAAGCCCCCTAAAAGACCTAAAGGCTGACAAAACATGACTTTTGGGTAGAATCCTATCATTAACTGTATAAACAATCCAGTATGGTGATCTCATGTTGATTTGTATCTGATTGATAAGGGGAAAAAAAAGAGAAGAGTAGTAATAAACTTAGCCTAGAAGGTAAAATATATGAAAACAAGTGTCTATGTAAGAACAAACAGAAATCTTTGGTGTTAAAAGGTTGGAGACAGCCGGGTGCAGTGGCTCATGCCTGTAAGTCCAGCACTTTGGGAAGCTGAGGCAGGAGGATAGCTTGAGGCCAAGAATCTGAGACCAGCCTGGGCAACATAGGGAGACTTTTTTTTTTTTTTTTTTTGAGATGGAGTCCTGTTCTGTTGCCAGGCTGGAGGGTACAGTGGCATGATCTTGGCTCACTGCAACGTCCGCCTTCCAGATTCAAGCGATTCTCCTGCCCCAGCCTCCCAAGTAGCTGGAACTACAGGCACACACCACCAGGCCCTGCTAATTTTTGTGTTTTTAGTAGAGACGGGGTTTCATCATGTTGGCCAGGATGGTCTCGATCTCTTGACCTTGTGATCCGTCCACCTCGGCCTCCCAAAGTGCTGGGATTACAGGCATGAGCCACCGCGCCCAGCAGACTTTTGTTTCTTCAGTTATTACACCTCTTCCTAACAAAAGGTTTAGAATAGCTGTAATATTTACCTGGGTATTTCTATTATGTAGGAATTAGCATCCATACTTTTTTAACTTTTCTACCCAAATCAAATGGATTAAAAACAAAACTTTTATAACGAAATATCTATATTTTTATGCCAGGCACTTAGCTGACCCACCCAAAGGTCATTAACTGACAATAATAAAGAGGCAGGATTTGAATCCAGACAGATCTGGCTCTTAAATACTAGTCTATTTCACTGTACCATGACACCTAACGCAACTAGGATGGGAAAAGACATTTACAATCGTGAAAAGCCTGGAATGCATGAGCTGATCAATTTAAGAGGGTTTGATGCATACACCTCCTACACAGTGTTACAAAACAGTTTTACATATTTAGGAGGAACTGGGCATTTAGAGACACTAGAATTAGCTTTCAAACTAAGCCAACAACACATCATTTAATATACAAGTGCTCAAAATCAAATTGCACTTCTGCCCTCAAGAAACCCTACTTGATAGCTTGAGTGTTTCTTATCATCTTTATTAGCTGGGGTTATGAAAGTTAAATGGGTGACGTTGCTAAAACTCTTTTCTAACACTTTCCCATGGGGAGTTGGGGGAAGGCTGCATGATTTGGCTGGTTTTTGTTCATCACAAATTAGGTGAACAGCCCAATCCCAAAAGAAAGCACCATTAATGAAATGACATGTTTCAAGGGCTTTCCAAACTCAGTCCACCGGGTTTTGGCAAGCTCCAACAAGGGTGGAGAGGGCTAAGGAGCAGCCAGCTACACTTCCCTTAATGGCCTTCTGAACTTGGGTCCTGTATCTGACAAGGCTTCCAGCTGCCCATAAGAACAAAATGGATTTTGCTCTTAATGCTGTCATGCAATTAAAGAGCCAAATGCTGAAATTTAAAAAAATTTTTGTTTAAGATGGGGTTTCCTGGTCTTGAACTCCCAACCTCGTGATTTGCCCACCTTGGCCTCCAAAGTGCTTGGATTACAGGCATGAGCCACAACGCCTGGCCATAAAAATCTTAATTAACAATGAAGATTTACAGGAACAAAACAGTATCCTGGAGTTTTTTCTTCATTGATGATACAGCTACAGAAAGATAGACGATGAGAGGAAAAAAAAAAAACCATAGGAAACAGAATGTTGATTACCTTTGTTCTAAAAATCATGATGATTTTTAGCCAAAATGCAATATAGCAATGAAAGAATCAATATTTTGTAAAATGTTTAACACTGATGTTCAATCTTTTAATGTTACTTCAGCTGCCAAACGTCGTGGCTCACACCAGTAATCCCAGCACTTTGGGAAGCCAAGGCAGGTGGATCACATGAGGTCAGGAGTTCAAGACCAGCCTGGCCAACATGGCAAAACCCTGTCTCTAATAAAAACATAAAAATTGGCCAGGCATGGTGGCGGGCACTTGTAATCACAGCTATCAGGAGGCTAAGGCAGGAGAATCGCTTGAACCTGGGAGACGGAGACTGCAGTGAGCTGAGATTACACCACTGTACTCCAGCATGGGCAACAAGAATGAAACACCAACTCTGCTAAAAATACAAAATTAGCCAAGTGTGGTGGCAAGAGCCAGTAGCCCCAGCTACTTGGGAGGCTGAGGCAGGAGAATCACTTGAGCCTGGGAGGCAGAGGCTGCAGTGAGCCAAGATTGCACCATTGAACTCCAGCCTGGGCAACAAGAGGGAGACTCGGTCTCAAAAAAAGAAAAAGATTTCAAACTACTAGGAAACTAAAAATGTTGGTGCATTAATAAATCACTAGCAGAAAAACAAAAGAAATTTGAAAAAAATAAATAAATCACTAGCAATTTAGACAGTAACACTGCAAGAGGGAGAAGCTGGTGGCTACATAGTGTTTTTATCATGACTTTTACAAATCAAGCTGGTTATAGTCATTCTGTCAGGCCAGGCACGGTTGCTCACGTCTGTATTCCCAGTACTTTGGGACACTGAGGCAGGCAGATCACCTGAAGTCAGGAGTTCGAGACCAGCCTGACCAACATGGAGAAACTCCATCTCTACTAATACAAAATCAGCCGGGAATGGTGGCTGTAATCCCAACTATTTGGGAAGCTAGGGCAGAAAAATCGCTTGAACCCGGGAGGCAGAGGTTGCAGTGACTGGAGATTGTGCCATTGCACTCCAGCCTGGGCAACAAAACAAGAGCAAAACTCTCTCAAAAAAAAAAAATAAAATAAAATAAATAAAGTCATTCTGTCATTTTCAAAGATATTAAGTTACCCACACAATAAATTAAAAATCTCCCAATGTCTCTATGGACCTAACAACTCCAAGGAAACTAGCATGTTAAGCATTTTATCTAAAATACAATAAAAAAGAAACTTTTTTGGAAACCAGCTATCTCCTGTTCATTACCTCACTATTGAGTCATGCCTTTAACAAATCCAGACCTTACACTTTCTATCCTTTTACACTCGTCCCTCTGAAGCCATTAAAACTCTCCCACCTTAAAGCAAAAATGTAGGATGTCCAGGTTTACTTCCCCATCACCTTTTCTCAAGCTGAAGAGTTTTGGATTCAGTATCCAAGAAGGAACTCGAGTTGGGGAGAGGAAGAGAGGATCAAGTAAGTAGGAAAGGAAAGGCAGTCTGTACTGTTGATGTCTCTTCCCCCTCCCCTTTAGGATAGCAGAGGAAAAGCTGAGAAACTGATCCACAGTTCCAAACAAAATAGTCTATTACAAGGGTCACGTGTTAACACAGAGGTTTACTATTCCATTATTTTTTTTCTTTTGAGACGGAATCTTGCTCTGTCACCCAGGCTGGAGTGCAATGGCGCAATCTCAGCTCACTGCAACCTCCGCATACCAGGTTCAAGCAATTCTCCTGCCTCAGCCACCCAAGTAGCTGGGATTACAAGCACATGCCACCACACCCGGCTAATTTTTTTTTTTTTTTTTAGTAGAGATAGGGTTTCACCATATTACCAGGCTGGTCTTGAACTCCTGACCTGAGTGATCTGCCTGCCTCGGCCTCCCAAAATGCTGTGATCACAGGCGTGAGCCACTGCGCCAGGCCTAGTGTCCCATTTTAGTAACTTGGCTCTAGAGGGTACTTCATATAAGCACTATCTAGTGCTCTATACCTAAACAGGGTAAGGATTAAACATTGTTCCATGGAAGGATTTTAAAACTCAACTATTACCTGCAAAAGACAAAAATGTATTTCTATGCATGTTGATGAACTAAGGGAAGAAAATCCTCATTTGCAGCCAAGAAGGTAAATGGAGACTTGTTGCAGTAATATTACTACTGACTTGAAAAGATGTCATGGCCAAGCATGGTGGCTCACTCCTGTAATCCCAGCATTTTGGGAGGCCGAGGCGAGCAAATCACCTGAGGTCAGGAGTTCGAGACCAGTCTGGTCAACATGGTGAAACCCCATCTCTGTCTACTAAATATGCAAAAATTAGCCAGGCATGCCTGTAATCCCAGCTATTTGGGAGGCTGAGGCAGGAGAATCACTTTAGCCTGAGAGGCAAAGGTTGCAGTGAACCAAGACTGTTACACTGCACTCCAGCTTGGGCAACAGAGCGAGACTCCATATTAAAAACAGAAACAAACAAGCAAACAAAAAACACAATAATGTGGACCCTCACCAACTAAACAGAACTGGCTACTTTCCCAGGTGATGCCAATGTGTGACTACTATTTTACCTTGGAACCCCATTCAGCCTTCAAGTTTGGGAGGAATTCATTCCACTTATAGCTTCAGAACAAATTTATGATTCAATTTAACATTTTTAAGCCCATCTCCCTGGCCAAGGAGACTTAAAGAGACACTGGCTGAGGGTTTCTGGAAAATTTTATTCATTCTTCCAAAGAGCTGCAACCTGGACTGCCTCTGGTTAATTGCATCGGTTTGGATAGGTTATCCTTCACTTGCAACATTAAAGGTCCCAAATTAGAAAGCAATACATAGGCATGGTGAAGTAAAGGGTGGGTTTTAATGTTTATTTACAGGAGGCTGCAAGATATGAAATTCCACATAGAAATAAGAAATGTAGCCAGAGGACAAGCTTCATACAGTATGTACAGTTGGAACTGTTCAAGTATAGTTTCAGTGTAAAAAGTGCTACAATAATAAACCACATTTAGAAAGAGTTCTTCGTAGAGAAACAGGAAGACAAAATACCAAACATAGTACACAACAAATTTATACCTCAGCTACATGATCTAAAAGTTAAAGGTCCCAGGAGTCCCATCCTGAACTTGGAAGGTATAGCCTTCAGAGGTAGTTTCTGGCACAACATTTTGATCTTCCTCTTCCTGGAAATATATTAAAAAATAAATATAAAAGTAATATAAATATTCCAAGCAGCAGCCTACCTAGAAGTCTGTATTTAATATTTAGATCTTGATCTGCATATTATACCTTTAATCCTGTATGGTATTCTAATATTTGACACAGGGGAGGGAGGGTCTCTGAAACTCTGCCAATTCATGAGTGCCTGGGGAGTTGTGGGGGCCGGGGATAAGGAATGCTTATCTGTTACTACAGTAACAGAAAAAGGCTGAGATTATTTTTCTTCTCCAACTGTCAATTTTCAGTTGGAAACGAGTGCCTGTTAGGCCCAGAGCATGGTGGTGGGTTTGGCCTACTTCTCTATCAACTCATACAATGACATCCATAAACTTATTCTCAAAATATTCTACGATTCTCAAGACTGTTCATTTGAAACTAATCCTGTTACTTTTAAAATCTCAGTTTAAAAAGATTTTATTGGCCAGGTGTGGTGGCTCACACCTGTAATCCAAGCACTTTGGAGGCCAAGGTGGGCAGATCACCTGAGGTCAGGAGTTCAAGACCAGCCTGACCAACATGGTGAAACCCTGTCTTTATAAAATTAAATGAATGAATAAAAAGATTTTATTACCACCAAGCCAAAGTTTATTACCACCAAAGGAGCAAGTAAGTATATTGTGTCCTACACACACTGATATTTTGCTATATTTAACAAAGATATGAGGCTTTGTTTTTGTTTGTTTGTTTGAGACGGAGTCTTGTTCTGTTGTTCAGGCTGGAGTGAAGTGGCATGATCTCAGTTCAGTGTAACCTCAACGCTCATTTTTAAAGGTATGAGGGAAAGGTCGGGTGCGGTAGCTCAGGCCTACTATAATCCCAGCACTCTGGGAGGCTGAGGCGGGTGGATCATGAGGTCAAGAGATCCAGACCATCTTTGTTAACAAGGTGAAACCCCGTCTCTACTAAAAATTCAAAAATTAGCTGGGCATGGTGGTGCCCACCTATAGTCCCAGCTACTAGGGACGCTGAGGCAGAATTGCTTGAACCCAGAAGGCGGAGGTTGCGGTGAGCCAAGATCGTGCCATTGCACTCCTGTCTGGGTAACAACAGCAAGACTCCGTCTCAAAAAAAAAAAAATTATGAGGGAAAAAAAGGCTCAAGGCCTTGACTTTACATGTTTGCAAGTTGTTAGTAACATTACCATCCATTACTCACCTCTACAGAGAAATACTTCTCAATTAAGTTTAATGAAGCCTTATACACAGACTCATTTTCATGGTTTTGTAGAGCTTCAATTTTGTCTAAGCCTCCACATCCTTCAATCATTATACTAAGATTCTCAGTTTCACCTAATTTCTCAGCAGCCTAAAAAAAAAATTTCAAGTTTACTAGCATATACTCTGAATGTTTTACTTTAAGAAAATGACATCAAAAATTGAACACTGATGTATCAGGCAGAATTAAGCACCTAACAGTTCCTTCAAGAAGCATATCATAGTTTTATGTCCATTTTATATTTTGTTGAAACTCAATATGATTGGATCTATACCTGCTCTTAGCACTGCTTCAACTGGAGCCTTCAACCAGAGATCTTACCATCAATAGCTCTCAACTTTTTCCATGTTTGTCAAAATAATGTGGGAAATATCAAAATAATGTGTCATCACAAGGTTTAGTTAGTCAAGGTGTTTAAGGGCAAAGATGGCCTATGGAGTGCTACACTAAAATGTCCCCAACCAGAATGTGTGTTGGTACTAAGGATTTGCGGGGCATAAGGAATGGTATGCAGATTCGTTTTTAACTTCTCAACTTTTAAGAGATACATAAACCAGGAGCGGTGGCTCACGCCTGTAATCCTAGCACTCTGGGAGGCCGAGGTGGGCGGATCACGAGGTCAAGAGATCAAGACGGCCAACATGGTGAAACCCCCGCCTCTACTAAAAAATACAAAAATTAGCTGGGCATGATGGCGCGTGCCCATAGTCCCAGCTACTCGGGAGGCTGCGCAGAAGAATTGCTTCAACCCAGGAGGCGGAGATTGATGTGAGGAGAGATTGCGCCACTGCACTCCAGTCTGGCACCTGGCAACACAGCAAGACTGTCTCAAAAAAAAAAAAGGATACATAAATATCTATAAATAAAATAACAAATTTCCTTCAAAATAATTTAGGGGACTAGACAAAGAGAAGAAGAAATACTGGCCACATATTGACAAATTATTTATCTGCAGTGACAGATATGCCAGCATCCATTACTGTAGGCTCGACTTCTATATGTAAAAAATCTCTAGAATCCAAAGTTGATGAGTAGGGCTTACCTACCACCTACCTACTATGACAAAGTATCATATGCTGATATGCTTGAATCAATTAGAGATGGAACCAGAAGAAAAATATAATTAAGTCATTCAAAAAAAATTCTTTTTGAGAGAGTGTCACTCTTTCACTCAGGCTGGAGTAAAGTAGCGCAATCTCGGCTCGCTGCAACCTCGCCCTCCCGGGTTTAGGTGATTCTCCTGCCTCAGCTTCAACAGTGGGGACTATAGGCGCCAGCCACTATGCTCAGTTAATTTTTATACTTTTAGTAGAGATACGGTTTTGCCATGTTGGCCAAGCGGGTCTCGAACTCCTGACCTCAGGTGATCCACCCACTTTGGACTCCCAAAGTGCTAGGATTACAGGTGTGACCCACCAAACCCTGCCGAACTTAATTTCACCAGGCCGGGTGCGATGGCTCACGCCCCTGTAATCCCACCACTTTGGGAGGCTGAGGAGGGTAGATCATGAATTCAGGAGATCAAGACCATCCTGGCTAACACAGTGAAACCCATCTTTATTTAAAAAAAAAAAAAAGTTAAAAAAAAAATTTAATTTCGCCAAAATTCAGTATGAAATTGGGAAATTAAATCAACCAAGTAAATAGGTGTGATGAGTTCACATAAGGGCCTGACTTTGATTCAGGTCACATCATCCATCCACTTGTCATCTCTTTTATACCTTTTACAATACCTGCCATATTTCTAATCAAAGGTGTGGCCCACATAAACAGGCTTTCTGATTCTGTGGTTTACTAGTGAGTAAACTTACAGCTGCCCTCCTTCCAGGTCTAAATAGTAAACTGATTACAAGCCCAAATTCAAACAAAGCCACCATGATAGGACTTACCTGAAAGATATTTGAAATGGCATCCAGGATAACCAGAATAATCTTGGTATCTTTTGCAGTTAAGAGGTTCATCAATGGTTCTATTACGCCACAATGAACAAGGTACACAATCTGTTCAACTGTTCCACCACTGGTATAGTTGGTCACAGCCCATACAGCTTCCTTTTGTGTCTTAAAATCGGCCTATTAAACATAAGAAAATGGTTTTATTTCAGAACAGTTGCACAAATAAGATTCCAAGAGTACTTTTCACAAAAACAATGACTGAAAAGTACCAAGTGAAACTTTAAGTGAAAGGGGTTACTGGGTATTTTTCTGCAGAGGACTCCAAGTAGAACCCAGGATTCTTGCATATTAAAAACTTTATATCAAGAAGAGCTCTCTAAAAGAAACACTAAAAGGCCGGGCGCGGTGGCTCAAGCCTGTAATCGCAGCACTTTGGGAGGCCGAGGCGGGTGGATCACGAGGTCAAGGGATCGAGACCATCCTGGTCAACATGGTGAAACCCCGTCTCTACTAAAAATACAAAAAATTAGCTGGGCATGGTGGCATGTGCCTGTAATCCCACCTACTCGGGAGGCTGAGGCAGGAGAATTGCCTGAACCCAGGATGCGGAGGTTGCGTTGAGCCGAGATTACGCCATTGCTCTCCAGCCTGGGTAACAAGAGCGAAACTCTGTCTCAAAAAAAAAAAAAAATGCCGTGAATAAACCCTAAGACTTCGTTACCTTAGAAAGAACACTGACAAGGAATGGGACTAATCCGTGATTCACAACTTGCTGTATCTGGTCCTGACGGCCAGCCGTGATGTTTGACATTGTCCATGTAGCTTCCTTCTGAATGTTAGTTTTGGGGTTGGTGAGCAGGCTGGGAAAGATGGCAAGCGCTCCTGCATCGATCACAACCTGAGTCTGTTCATCTGTACCAGTCACAATATTCCCTATGGCTCGTAGTGCAGGAGTCTGAAAAGAAAAAAATGTTGATGCTGGTTACCGTATTTTTTTCCCAGCACTTCAGAAATTCTATACCCTAACAGTTTTGGTAAGAGGCCCATCATGGCCTGAAATAGGCAATATTTCAGTATTAGTATCAACTGATTATGCTTTTTTTTTATTTTTTTGAGACGGATTCACCTAGGCTGGAGTGCAATGGTGAGATCTTGGCTCACTGCAACCTCAACCTCCAGGTTCAAGCAATTCTCCTGCCTCAACCTCCCAAGTAGCTGGGATTACAGGCGCATGCTGCCATGCCCGGCTAATTTTTTTTTTTTTAGTAGAGACAGGGTTTCACCATGTTGTTCAGGCTGCTCTCTAACTCCTGACCTCAGGTGATCCACCCACCTTGGTTTCCCAAAGTGCTAGGATTATACAGGCGTGAGCCACTGCACCCAGCCCTGATCATGTTTCTTATAATTTTGTCCTAATCTAAAAGAAAGGAACTTACCACAATTGGCAATTCAGAAGCTCCTAGAAGCTTCACAAGTTGGGGCACAACTCCTGTTTTCACGACCATGTCAATTCGTTCATTTGGACCATCAGTAAGGTAGGAAATAGCCCAGCAGGTATCTGCTAATACTTCTGGATCATCATGATGCAGGAGCCGAACTAAGGTAGGAAGAATCTGCTCAACAGCATCTAACGGGGGTGCAGGATTCTTGTTGCGGCAAAGATTTGAAAGTGTCCAGGTAAGATTACGTAAGTAACCACACTGGGGAAAAAGAAATCAGCAATGAGAGATTCTATCTTTTGAGAAGATGGGGGAAATTAGAATAAAGAAGAGAGTAACTACTTATGGTAGTAACCTACTGCCAAAGATGACATATCAGGAACTGCAAGAAGAGCCAAGAGTGGGTCAATTGCACCGTACTTAATAACCAAGTCTCGGAACACTGAGCCATCACCTGAAAAAAGAAGGCACGATTGATTTCTATTACCTTGTCCAGCACTATCAACGTTCAATGACTGAATGCAACACCTTCATTCTTAATAACGGCTTGAAAGCAAGCTCAAAACTTGACAAAGTCACTATTACCTATAACAAGGCCTTTCTTCCAACTCATTACACACATTCAGTCAAAAGAACTTCAAGTCCAAGTACCTGCAATGTTTCCTAGAGCCCATACAGCTTGTTCACTGATGTGAGCATGGGGAGATGCCAACAGAGAAATGAAGGCTGGGATGGCACCTCCATCTACCACAGCCTTGGTTTGTTCTGATGTCCCAGAAGCAATGTTAGTGAGTGCCCAAGCAGATTCAAACTGAATGGGACTACAATCAGTTCTGCCCAAGAAGGACACAAATTTTGGAATCAAACCAGCCCGGATTATGTTGTCTATGGGGGGCTGTTTTTCTCTAGAAAGTAGTTTCCTAAAGGGAAACAAAAAGAGAAATAAAGTTGAAAGTGATTAACAAAAGGAGTTTGTGTAAAAACCAATTTAAAATGCAATTCAAAAGAATAAATAAATAAATACAATGCAATTCAAGACTTTACAACTTCAGACAACCTTTTATGTAAATCACTAAATGCTGAGACATTCTGGAACCTAAGAGAAGCTGAACAGCTTACTTGCATGGTGCTATACATGTGGTATAATTAACTACCATTTTTCCCTAAAATAATACAGATTACCCTCCTCTGCATCACTGCAGAAATCTACTACAAATCTTGTCCCTTTTTTTGGGCGGGGACAGTCTTGCTGTCGCCCAGGCTGGAGTGCAGTGGTTTGATCCTGGCTCACTGCAACCTCTGCCTCCTGGGTTCAAGTGATTCTTGTGCCTTAGCTTCCTGAGTAGCTGGGACTACAGAGACCCACCATCACGCCCAGCTAATTTTTGTATTTTTAATAGAGACGGGGTTTTCACCATATTGGCCAGGTTGATCTCAAACTTCTGACCTTGTGATCCGCCTGCCTCAGCCTGACAAAGTGCTGGGATTACAGGCGTGAGACACCACATCCGGCCGATCCTGTCTCTTTTTTAAAAAACTTTTGACAATATGACAGGGTTATACTCTCATTGTTAACTGAATCTGCATCTCCCTAACCGTTGTGGTGAAGCACCTTTTGTTTAAGCACAGGATCTTACTCCACCCAGGTTTGAGTGCAATGCCTCGATTACGGCTCACTGCAGGCTCGACTTCCTGAGTGAGATCAAGTAATCCTCCCACCTCAGCCTCCTTAGTAGCTGGGACTAAAAGCGTGCACCACCACACAAGGGTAATTTTTTTTTATTTTTTGAGAGACAGTCTCATCCTGTTGCACAGGCTGGTCTCAAACTCGTGGGCTCAAGTAACCTACCCCTTGGCCTCTTAAAGTGCTGGGATTATAGGCATGAGCCACTGCACACAGCCTAGAACTTTTTAATGATTATTTACCATTGAAATTTGTTCTTCTGCACACTGTCAAGCTACAGAAATTATTAATCCTTTCTATTAATCATAAATATTTGTGTATGGTGGGAGATAAGTCAAATTATGCTTATTTCCTAAATGGATCTATCATTCTAAACAGATGTCTCAATCCCAGTTACTATTAATTTCTTCCTTTCACTGCCAGTAACTTGAAACATTACTTAGATAAAAACTTTATGGCCAGGTACAAGGGCACACACCTGCAGTCCCAGCACTTCAGAAGGCTGAGGTGAGAGGACTGCATGAACCCAGGCATTCAAGACCAGCCTGGGCAAAATAGCAAGGCCTCCCACTCATAAAAATTAATAAACAAAAAACACTGTTTGGTTTATGGCTAGCTGGTGTAATCTTTCCTTACACTATCTTGTCCGTCCCTTCCTGCCAGAAAAAAAATAATCTAAAAACACTAATTGTTTAGGTAACCTGTGCTATTGGCAGACAAGACATACCTGGCAGCTTGAGTAGCTTGGAGCTGATTTTCCACGTTGTTGCTATTTATGCCTTTGACGATGTCATCAACAGACCAATTTACAGTGCCCTAAAAGAACAACAAAATTTTGCACATTAAAAATAAATGCAAACAATAAAATCTACACTTACCACTGTGAAGGCAAGAAGGGAAGTATAAACATCAATTAGGCTTATAGCCAGCCACTAAAAACTTAGCCCTACGTTTAATTTTACCTGTTAAATATTCATTATTTTATATGTAGAACAGTTTCCAAACTTGGTGTATGACTCACTGGAGTCTCGAGTTATGGAGTATCCAAGAGTTTTGTCACTAAAAAAAGGCAGCTTTGAACAATTTTAAAAATGAACTAGAAGGCCAGGCACGGTGGCTCACACCTGTAATCCTAGCACTTTGGGAGGCTTAGGAGGGAGGATAGCTTGAACTCAAGTGTTCAAGACCAGACTGAGCAACATATTGAGACCTTCCCACCTACAAAAAATTGATATATATAGATATCCAAGTATAGTGTGTCTACCTGTCACCACCCAAGACCTTTTCTCAAAAAAAAAATAATAATAATAATCAGAGTAGACTTTAGATTGAGACTACGTTAGTCTCAATCACTTGCGTTCAGATATACTTTGAGGGAGAAAGACATGGTTACAAGCAATGCGCTGAGGATTTACATATCTAATTTTATAACCTATATATTTACACAGTTGAGTGTTGTTACAAATATAAATGTTTTCTGTTTGGAAGGGTACAGTGGCTCACGCCTGTAATCCCAGCACTTTGGAAGGCTGAGGTGGGCAGATGGGCCGATATGGTAAAACCCCATCTCTACTGAAAATACAAAAATTAGCTGGGCGTGGTGGCAGGTGCCTCTAGACCCAGCACTCGGAAGGCTGAGGCGGGAGAACTGCTTGAACCTGGGAGGTGGAGGCTGCAGTGAGCCAAGATCGTACCACTGGACTCCAGCCTGGGCAGCAGAGTGAGACACAGTTTCCCAAAAAAAAAAAAAAGCAAAAATTAGCAAGACTGTTGGGCGCAGTGGCTCACACCTGTAATCTCAGCACTTTGGAAAGCTGAGGTGGGTAGATCATGAGGTCAGGAGTTCAAGAGGAGCCTGACCAATATAGTGAAACCCTGTCTTTAAAAGAAATTAGCAAGACATGGTAGTGGGCCCCTATAATCCCAGCTACTCAGGAGGCTGAGGCAGGAGAATTGCTTGAACCTGGGAGGCAGAGAAGCTGCAGTGAGCTGAGATTTCGCCACAACGTACTCCAGCCTGGACAAGAGAGCAAGATCCATCCCCCCTTAAAAAAAAATGTTGGGGGCCGGGCGCGGTGGCTCAAGCCTGTAATCCCAGCACTTTGGGAGGCTGAGGCGGGTAGATCACGAGGTCAGGAGTTCAAGACCAGCCTGGCCAACATGGTGAAACCTCATCTCTACTAAAAAAAAAAAAAAAAAAAAAAAATAGGCCGGGCATGTTGATGGTGTCTCATGCCTGTAATCCCAGCACTTTGGGAGGCTGAGGCAAGCGGCTTACGTGAAGGTTGGGAGTTCGAGACCAGCCTGACCAAGGTGAAGAAACCCCATCTCTACTAAAAATACAAATTTAGCAGGGCATGGTGGCACGCCTATAATCCCAGCTACTTGGGAGGCTGAGGCAGAAGAATCACCTGAACCTGGGAGGCAGAGGTTTCAGTGAGCCGAGATCGCGCCATTACACTCCAGCCTGGGAAATGGGAGCAAAGTCGTCTCAAAAACAAAATTAGTCGGGCATGGTGGCATACACCTGTAATCCCGCTACTCAGGAGGTTGAGGCACGAGTATTGCTTGAACCCAAGAAGTGGAGGTTGCAGAGAGCCAAGATCATGCCACTGCACTCCAGCCTGGGCAACTGAACAAGACTATGCCACGAGGGGAAAAAAAAAAAAAAAAAAAAAGCAGCAGCATATTGTGAGAAAAAGATGTAGGCAAGTGCTCAGTTATGAAAGATAAATCTGAAAATCTAAGGCACCTACTTTATGGAAGGCCTTCCTGGAGTATGGATTTTTATTTTTAGAGACAGGGTCTCACTCTGTCACCCAGGATGAAGTGCAATGGTACAATCATAGCTCACTGCAGCCTCAAAATCCTGGGCTCCAGTGATCCTTCTGCCTCAGCCCCGGGAATACTTAGGACTAAGGGCCTGCATCACCATACCCAGCTAACTTTTTATTTCTTGTAGAAACACGGCCTTGCTATGTTGCCTAGATGGGGCTCAAACTCCTGGCCTCCAGTGATCTTCCCAGTTTGGCTTCCCAAAGTGCCAGAATTACAGGTGTGAACTCCAGCTGGAGTATGTATTAATTTTTTTATTTTTATTTTTCTTGAGACAGAGTTTCACTCTTGTTGCCCAGGCTGGAGTGCAATGGTGCAATCTCGGCTCAGGGTAACCTCCCCCTCCCCTCCCAGGTTCAAGCAATTTGGAGTATGAATTTTGAGGAGAGAAAACACATATCTAAAGCAATACTTCAGGAAAAATTTCAGGAAAATAGTATATGGCACGAAAAGAAGAAGATGATAAATTAGGAAGCCACTGTAAATATTTCAGGAGGAAAATCCTGAGCAAAGCCGGTGACATTTACAAAAAAATAGAGAATACCAAAAAAGGCAGAAATAAACCAGATACGGGCTGGGTGTGGTGACTCATGCCTGTAATCCCAGCACTTTGGGAGGCTGAGGCAGGTCAGGAGTTCAAGACCAGCCTGGCCAACATGGTAAAACTCTGTCTCTACTAAAAATACAAAAATTAGTCAGGCATGGTGGCACTCACCTGTAATCCCAGCTACTCAGGAAGCTAAGGCAGAATCGCTTGAACCCAATAGGTGGAGGTTGCAGTGAACCGAGATCATGCCACTGCAATCCAGCCTGAGGAACAGAGCAAGACTCTGTCTCAGGGGGGAAAGAAAGAAAAAGAGAGAGAGAGAGAAATAAACCAGAAACTAGTTCTGGACACACTGGTCAGATCAAGGTACCCAGCTAGTAGCTAGAAATGCAGGGAAGTCTGAAGGAAGGTCAGAGCTAAAGGAAGATCTTAAAAACAGCTTCAGTGGATTATAGAAGGCAGGAAAGAAGACAATTACTAATTTCAATCAGAGAAAAAGATTTTCACAGATAGTCAAAGTCATAAGACTAGAAATGTTGGCCGGGCGTAGTGGCTCACACCTGTAATCCAAGGACTACTTTGGAGGCCAAGGTGGGTGGATCACCTGAGGTCAGGAATTCAAGACCAGCCTGACTAACATGGTGAAACCCTGTCTATTTAAAAAAAAAGACTAGAAACGTTAAGTTTACTTGAATTTCTCAGAAAAGTCTCTACTGATTTTCTGAATTTAATGTAACTCATACACTAAAACATATTTTTTACCTGGTTGTTGCGGTTTTCCTGCAGCGGAGAAGTAGCATCATCAGGAAATGAGCTTACATTTCTCCTCTTCAGCATCTGATCATCCTTCTTAGCTTTCCTTAGCTCCACATTGACTTCTATTCTGCGACGCCTCATTTCCTTGAGAAAAGATAACATGATGTTTCACCTATCACATCAGTTTCTGTTGCTAAGTGAGGCCATTTTCTTAAAAAAAATCCCTACATTCTTACCCCTTTCCAAATGTCTTCCCATTTAAATAACACCACAGGAAAGCAACAGAAGGTACTTACCGTACTGTCTTTTCCCTTGTTTTTGAATCTGTTAAGACGGGCAGCAGGTGTATGTGCATTCTCGTTGGTGGACATGGTTATGAGACAAAGGGAGAAAGCTAAAAGATGGAGAAAGAGAACAATATTTCCTTTATTATTTTCCTTTGTCGGTAACAGTACCAAGTAAGAATTATCAAGCATCTACTGAATCCAGACGTCTAGACTAGATGAAGGGATCATCATGTTTTCAGCACTAAGAAACAGTTTTAGCCAAGGGATAACTGTCCCCCCTTCCCTCTGAAGAACTGAGACTTCCTGGAGCAGGATTGTCCATCAGAAATAGAATGCAAGCTATATAAATGTAAGCTTCCTAGCAGCCATATTTTTTAAAAAGGCAAAAGGAAACAAGTGAAACTAATTATAATAATGTATTTTACTTAACCAACATATCCAAATAGTATTTTAACACGTTATCAATATATAAAATAATTGAGCTCTTTTACATTCTTTTTTCATACTCCATCTTTGAAATCTTTTGTGTACTTTAGGCTTACAACGTATTTCAATTCGGACTAGCCACATGTGTCCACCGTTTCTGACAGCCCGGCTCTAAACTCCAGAGTCCAGAACCGAGTTAACTTACAGCTAAAAATTATGTGCTAAGGGAATACATACAGATCCTCGGGAGGGTCTCCCTACTTGACCGTGTTTACATGACCAAAATGGGTGCACTCTCCACATTCGAAAATCAAATAAAAATTTGCTTCATCATTTCATTATGATCACTAAGAATGCAGTGCCGGATCTCACATATTTAATTTGCATTTCAAGGGACTTGGAGAGAATGCAATTAAGATGACATCAGCCGTGCGTCCTTCAGAAAACGACAAAAGTCAAAGGTCTCCTTACAATTTGCTATCTTTGCTTTCATTACGCTCGCCTACGACTTAGTGGCAAAGCCACCCAGGAGCCTAGGTGTTAGAAACGGTGCTCCGAACTGCCACCCCCAGCCCCAGCTCCAGCCCCTACTACGGGGAAGAAGCAACGAGAACTGGGGAGGTAAGGCCAGGGCCGCCACGAGCCATCCTGGGACATTCGCCCTCAGGCCTGGCTCGCTCCCATTCTACCTGCCGCGAAGCTTTAAAGCCTTCGTTGCCATTTGCAGAGCGTCGGCGCCCTAAGCCCGCAGCCCGGGCGAAACTCAGCCGTCTCCTCAACGAACACCGCCCCCGAGGCCTAGTCAACGCGGGAGGCAGAGTCAGGCCCAGCGTGGCCCCGGAGCCTCCCTACCCCCACCCACAAGGCGAACGCTGCCCGAGGGACAGCCGTTAGCGCTCGGGAGGAGCCGCCGGCGGAGTCTGTACCTACGAAGCGGGCCCGGGCTTCCACAGGAGGCTTAAGCAGGGATCCGCGGATATGGGGAAGCTGCGATTAAAAACGACCACCTCCGGTTCAGCTCAAAGACCGTGTGGCTCGTGCCGCCGGCCGGCGCAATTTAAATTTCCCGGTGACTCCGCATTCCGATTGGCTGGTTCGAGCCTAAGCTGTGTGCCCATTGGCGAATTTGAAAAACACGTTGGGAGGGGAGGGGGTCATAGGGCTTAGGAAAAAAAAAAAAAAAAGAAGGATGACATCGCGAGATGAGGGAGAGGCCCAGCGATCCCGGAGAGCCTGCAGGGGAGAGCGGGAAGACTCCATATCCCAGCATGCAGCCCGAGGGGGTGGTTCCCTGGGCCATTCGCGTTTCCACAGGCTTGAAGCTTGTTTGGTCCCTGGGCGTTTTCCTGGGCGACAGCCTTAAACAGCTACCACACAATGATTCTCAAAGTCATTATTTTAAAAAAATCTTTATTGTTGATCTTCATGAAAGAAAAAAAATGATAATTAATAAATAATCTTTATAGAAAAACTGCTTTGCATTTTAGGACAGCGGATGAACTTGGAGGGGGTTTCTGGCCACTATGGGAGTGAAGATTTGTTACCTTTTTTAGTTTAGGTTTTCTTTTTTCTTTGATTGCGTCGTAAAAGACTGTATAGAAACCGTAAATAAGGTAACAAAAGGTTTTTTATGCCGGTTTCTCCAGACACTCAAGTTTTTTATTTTTAAATATATATATATATATATATATATATATATATTTTTTTTTTTTTTTTTTTTTTGAGACGGTGTTTCGCTCTTGTTGCCCAGGCTGGAGTGCAATGGCGCATTCTCGGCTCACCGCAACCTCCACCTCCTGGGTTCAAACGATTCTCCTGTCTCAGCCTTCCAAGTAGCTGGGATTACAGGCATGTGCCACCATGCCCGGCTAATTTTTTTTGTCTTTAGTAGAGACAGGGTTTCACCATGTTGGCCAGGATGGTCTCAATCTCTTGACCTCGTGATCCACCCACCTCAGCCTCCCAAAGTGCTGGGATTACAGGCGGGAGCCACTGCCCCCGGCCTATTTTTAAATAATTCCAAATGCAGAAGAATTGCAAATCTTTATCCAGATTTGCCAAATGTTAATTTGCCACATTTGCTGTTGCTCTTTCTATACATATATATGTATACTCACATGTGTACATATGTGTTACTTTTTGAAATATTTGAAAGTTTCAGAATCATGTCCCTTTTCCTCTATTTCACAGTGTATCTCCTAAGAAAAGACATTCTCAGGCCAGGCGCGGTTGCTCAAGCCTGTAATCCCAGCACTTTGGGAGGCCGAGACGGGTGCATCACGAGGTCAAGAGATCCAGACCATCCTGGTCAACATGGTGAAACCCCGTCTCTACCAAAAATACAAAAAATTGCTTTCAGCTTTCGGCTCGGAGGAGGCCAAGGTGCAACTTTCTTCCGTCGTCCCGAATCTGGGTTCATCCGACACCAGCCACCTCCACCATGCCGCCGAAGTTCGACCCCAACGAGATCAAAGTCGTATACCTGAGGTGCACTGGGGGTGAAGTCGGTGCCACTTCTGCGCTTGCCCCCAAGATCGGCCCCCTGGGTCTGTCTCCAAAAAAGGTTGGTGATGACATTGCCAAGGCAACAGGTGACTGGAAGGGCCTGAGGATTACAGTGAAACTGACCATTCAGAACAGACAGGCCCAGATTGAGGTGGTGCCTTCTGCCTCTGCCCTGATCATCAAAGCCCTTAAGGAACCACCAAGAGACAGAAAGAAACAGAAAAACATTAAACACAGTGGGAATATCACTTTCGATGAGATTGTCAACATTGCTCGACAGATGCGGCACCGATCTTTAGCCAGAGAACTCTCTGGAACCATTAAAGAGATCCTGGGGACTGCCCAATCTGTGGGCTGTAATGTTGATGGCCGCCACCCTCATGACATCATAGATGACATCAATAGTGGTGCTGTGGAATGCCCAGCTAGTTAAGAAGCACAAAGGAAAATATTTCAATAAAGGTCATTTAACAACTGGTGAAAAAAAAAAAAAAAATACAAAAAATTAGCTGGGCATGGTGGCGCGTACCTGTAATCCCAGCTACTCAGGAGGCTGAGGCAGGAGAATTGCCTGATTCCAGGAGGCGGAGGTTGTGGTGAGCCGAGATCGCACCATTGCACTCCAGCCTGGGTAACAAGAGCAAAACTCTGTCTCAAAAAAGAAAAGAAAAGACATTCTCTTCTATAACCACACTGCAATCACCAAATTCAGAAAAACTGAAATTTCATGCTGTTGTCTCTTCAAGTTTTTTCAATTGTTCCAGTAATATTCTATGCTGTATGTTCCACATTTCTGAATCGTGCATTTTTTGCCATATGTTCAAACAAACAAAAAAGATGGAACCAGGCACGGTGGCTCACGCCTGTAATCCCAGCACTTTGGGAGGCCAAGACGGGCGGATCACAAGGTCAGGAGTGCGAGACCAGCCTGACCGACATGGTGAAACCTTGTCTCTACTAAAATTACAAAAAATTAGCCGGGCATGGTGGCACGTGCCTGTAATCCCAGCTATTCAGGAGGCTGAGGCAGGAGAATCGCTTGAACCTGGGTGGCGCAGGTTGCAGTGATCATGCCATTGCACTCCAGCCTGGGCGACAGAGTGAGACTCCGTCTCAAAAAAAAAACAAAAACAAATAAAACAAAGATGGACAACAGAGCATCAGGATTATGGACCATTTTTGTTTCTAAAAGATTACATTTTGGAAAAGTTGTAATGCTTTATTTCTTACTATAAATAAATTCAAACAGCAACTTTGTCCATTCTCGCAGGTATTAATGCTAGCCTCATTCATTGTATTGCAGCCAGAGTTCAGAAAGGGTTGTACCTACTCTTAATCAGCATAATCCCATCCCCCTAAATGCAAGAATGTGGAAGGAATTCACCCTAAACCAATCACTGTGGGGCTCAGCTACTGAGAATGGTTCAGGGGCAGGCACAAGACCTAAATTCATTCAGTTGGGCAGCCTGTGCCTTTTGTTTACTGGTTGGAGGTAGGAAAGCAGCCTCTGTTCTTCTGAGCTGAGGGAAGTGAGTCCTAGAAATTTGAATAAGAAAATTGTAGGGAAAACTTGAGAGGTCTGACCAATAGCCTGCTCTATCTCTGAAGGTTTGCAATTATGTGATCTGATACACATTTCTCTTGTATTGTCAAGTTGAGTTTCTTCTCTTTTTTTTTTCCGAGACAGGGTGTGGCTATGTTGCCCAGGCTGGAGTGGAGTGGCACAATCTCAGCTGACTGTGACCTTTGCCTCCTGGGCTGAAGCCATCCTCCTACCTCAGCCTCCCAAATAGCTGGGACTACAGGTACATACCACCATGTCCAGATAATTTTTTTTTTTTAAGACAGGGTTTCACCGTGTTGGTCAGGCTAGTCTTGAACTCCCGACCTCAGGTGGTCCGCCCTCCTTGGCCTCCAAAGTGCTTGGATTACAGGCATGAGCCACCATGCCTGGCTTGTCCAGATAATTTTTGTATTTTTTGTAAAAGCAAGGTTTCACTATTTTGCCCAAGCTGGTCTTGAACTCCTGAGCTCAAGCAATCCACCCGCCTTGGCCTCCCAAAGTGATGGGATTACAGGCCTGAGCCATCATACCCAGCCAAGTTGAGTTTCTTTTGCTTGAAAATACTGAGTATTAAGTGCCCCGAAATGTTCTAAGTATTTACCATATATTAACACACTTGATCTTCACAACAGTGAGGTAGTACTATTATCTGCTCTATTTCACAAAAGAGAGCGCTGAATCACAGTGTTTATGTAACTTGTTCAGGGTTACACAGCCAGTAAATCACAAAGACAGGATTCAGCCATAAGCAGTCTGGTTCCAGGGTCTGTGTTCTGAACCACTATTTTGTACTTACACCTAAAAACAACCTAAAACAGAAGTATAATGCCCAAAATTGGCTTTGAAAGATACAATGTAGCCAGGCGTGGTGGCTCACATCTGTAATCACAACATTTTGGAAGGCTGAGACGGGCAAGTCACCTGAGGTCAAGAGTCGGAGACCAGCCTGGTCAACATGAGGAAACCCTGTCTCTACTAAAAATACAAAAAATTAGCCATGTATGGTGGCGGGCACCTGTAATCCCAGCTACTTGGTAGGCTGAGGAAGGAGAATCACTTGAACCCAGGAGGCAGAGGTTGCAGTGAGCCGAGCACTCCAGCCTGGGCAACAACAGCAAAATTCTGTTTCAAAAAAAACAAAAAGACTAGCCTGTCCAACATGGCAAAACCCCATCTTTACTAAAAATACAAAAAAAATTAGCCAGGCATGGTGGTCCTAGCTACTCAGGAGGCTGAGGCACAAGAATTGCTTAAACCTGGGAGGTGGAATTACAACTACAGTGAGCCGAGGCAACATTAGAAAACTCCATCTCAAAAAAAAAAAAAAAAAAAGTCCCATCATTATCATTGCAACCAGGTTTTAGCTATATTAGTCCACTAACATAGTCTGCTTGGGTTACCACCACAAAGTACCACAGGCTGGGTGGCTTAAATAACAAACAGTTATTTTTCTCACAGTTCTGGATCAGAAAATCTGACATAAGGGTGCCAGAGTGGTCAGTTTCCAGGAAGGGCCCCTCTCTTGGAGTCCAGATGACCATCATCTCATTGTGTGCTAACATGATCTCTTCATTAGAGCATAGAGGAGAGAGAGTGAAAGCTCTCTGATGTCTCTTCTTACAAGGGCATTAATCTCATCATGAGGGCCCCATCCTCATGAATTCATCTCAACTTCCCAAAAGCCCTATCTCCAAGTACTATCATACTGGGAGTCAGGTTTTCAACACATGAAATTTTTTTTTTTTTTTTTGAGACGGAGTCTCGCCCTGTCCCCTAGGCTGGAGTGCAATAGCACAATCTCAGCTCACGGCAACCTCCCACTCCTGAGTTCAAGTGATTCTGCTGCCTCTGCTCCCCAAGTAACTGGAATTACAGACATGTGCTACCATGCCTAGCTAATTTTTTGTATCTTTAGTAGAGACAGGGTTTTACCATGTTGGCCAGGCTGGTCTCGAACTCCTGACCTCGTGATCCACCCACCTCAGCCTCCCAGAGTGCTGGGATTACAGGCATGAGCCACCGCACTTGGCCCAACATATACATTTTTGAAGGGGATGCAAAATTCAGTTCATAATATCCATTTACCAGCTGGGCAACATAGCAAGATGACCTCCCCCCAACCACCATCTGTACAAAAAATTAAATAAATTAGCCAA